CTAGTAATATTTATTCAAAAATAGCTAAACAAAGCAATAAGAAATATAAATTTTCTTATTACCTCAACCCTTTTATACCAAAAGAGTTTTCCCTTATACCAAAAATATGACATGGCTTGTCCCTTAACTTTCGAACAAATTTTACCAACAATTTCTACAACATATAAGTGATTTACATCACTTATCATGCCAAATAGCATAAAAGAAGATTATAACTCAAATCACACAACTTGGGTCAATGAGTTATAACCCATCCCAATGGTCCATATATTAAACCAACTATTCACATAATATCACTTAACCACCAAAACCATTTATTAGCCACCATTAGGCCAATTTCAAAATCATATAATTTTTAATCAACCAAAAACCTTCACTTAGTGTTACCAACTTTTACAATTTGCTCTTATAATGAAAGCTAAAGCTTAATTTAAATTTCGTTAGATTCAATAGCATAATTATAACTAAATTAATAGGCTTAACCATGAAAGAGCAAAACCCAATCCCTTAGGGTTTAGTTTTTGCCCTAAACTCCCTTTTTTTAAATTACCTACTTAAAACGTTAGAGCACCATACAAAACTCAAAAGAATCATCTAAAGACCCAAATAAACCAAAGCTTATAAGAATAAAGCCTTTGAGATCAAAATTTAAAATTTACCTCTTCTAAAAATTCAAGAAAACTAAAATGGAAGGAAAAGGATTGAAGTAGGCAGTTTACCTATCGTGTAGCCGACTTCATAATAGCCGCAAAGCCTTCTAAATCTGAGCCTATGTCCCTCTCTTCTTCCTCTCGCTCTCTCATCCTTGCTCTTGCATTTATTTTCCTTTGCTTTTGGTTTCTTGTTTTTGCATGTGTTTCCCTTTTAAAAAATTGATCTAACTATTTTGAGAAAAAATTACAAGGAAAGGCCTAACATTTCTTATTATAACACAAAAGCTTGGGTTAATTTTAGTAATTTTTTCCATTATTAAAAATAAAATAAAACTAAACTTTTGCTAAGTAAAATTTGAACTTTGGAGACCTTTATCAAATTATTACTACTTTTAATTTAATTATAAATATTTTATTTTAAATTAAACTAGGGTCTTAAAATTTTTAAGATGTTACACAAGTTGCTAGGGCATTAAAGTACTTCAAAGTAATCTCTGATTCCCCTGCTAAATCTAACACATTCAATGTGCCCTAGATGTTTTGGTTTGCCTTTAGCAACCGCCAAGATGTCATTTTTATTCTCTAGAATGAATGATCTTTGAGATTACTGTTCCTTAAAAGCCTCCTATAATAAACAAAAACCATGACAAAAATATGAATAATTGAATAAAAAAGTTAAAGAATTAAATGTTACGTACAATCGCTTGTATAGCTTCCTGTCCTGTATTGATGACCATACCTCTATTTATCCTCACAAGAGATAGGTGATGGTGGGCATAAAAGGCTAGAAGGATCAAATTTAGCTTTTTCTACTCTCTTCTTCAACTTCTTATCCATCAAGATACCATCAACTTGATCATAACCCCCATAAGACATTTTATGGGTGCATTCATTTCTCTGAGCAATTTCTTGCCTTTTGCTTGTTTCTCTTGTTAATTAATAAGAAATTAACAAATTAATACAATCAATTGAATTAAATTACTAAAATTAAATCACAAATAGAAATCAATTAACCACAGCTTTTTTAGAAGTTTAAATCCTACAAAATTCTTGCCAAGTTTGTTTATCTAGAAATTGATATGTCTCAAGAGGATTAGTAAGAGGCTAACCCTCTTTCAACTAGGCATGGATAAATTTCCTTTTAAGGTCAATCTTGAAACATCTTCAACATTCTTCATAATATATTAGTAGTTGTCTCCAACATGCTTGATCATTGGGTATATCATAGGTGAGCTACAATCAATAATAGTTAGTCTTTTACACATAATAATCACAAATATTAATAACTTTATGATGATATACATGAATGCTTTCCTAAATCTGTTCCTTCACACATTCTGGCACATCAAGCCAATCTTTAAATAATATACTGGCCTTGTTATGTGATAGGAGCCTAAGATAGCTAACAAACTTGGCCTATTTTGGCTTGTGTGGTTTCCACCGCTGATCAAACTGGATTGGTAATCTATGGCCAATAATCATACTCAAGGTCAGATCTCTCAATCGCGTGCCCTGTCTACCCCTCCTAACTAACTGGCTCTAATTAGGATCACTATCGCTGTTATGAGCAATCTCTATAATCAACTAGCTCTGAGTAATCTCTATGGTAGGCTGGCTCAGAGTAACTTCTATAGTAGGTTAGCTCTGATGGGGTTGACTGTGAGTACTGTTAGTAGGTCCACTCTGATTCTCTCCATATTCCTAAAAATAAAACATAAAGAATTGTAAATAAAACATAATTCAAAGAATACAAAAATAAATAAAACAAAATTCAAAATTAGAAAACTAACATTAATTTCAAAATTAATTTCATATATGGATATTCTCCATATCCCTTCATATTGATCACTTCATGTGGCATGTTCTTCATCTAACTCATCTACATGCAAATTGGGTAGTCTTGACGATAAGGTAGGAGTTTCAGAAATATTGAAGCTTGTTTCATTCTTGTCATTACTATCAATCAACTTTTTTCTTTCAAGAGTTATTGACTAACTTTTGTTGCCAAATTGGTGAAATAGAAAACATGTTTTGGTTCGTTTGCAAAATAAATGGCTCCTCCCCATAAGTTAATCTTTTAAGATCAACTAATATAAATCCTAATTTATCCTCTTGAACACCATTGATGTCAACCCATTTGCATTTGAAAGCAAGCACTTTAAATTTTGTATAGTCAACCTCTCAAATCTCTTCAATAATCCTAAAATAAGGCATAGATGCCAATTTTAGATTCTTATCTTTCTTAATTGAGAAATGCATAGCTTCAGCCACTATCATACTCCACTATTTTGCACAATACTCTTCTCATCAAGAGACTTTGTATAAAAAGAATACCCATAAATATTGTATGCAGTCTAGCATATCACATCTAAATTAGGACCCTCTACTAACCATTTAATAGTATTAGAAATGTTATCTTCATTTAAGACTTTTTGTTTGAATCAATCTACAAAAGTCTTATTATGCTCTTTCAAGAACCTTTATTCAGTCATTCTCAATCGATTGCATTCTATCCTTAGAAGTTCTTCATGTGTATTTATGTAGCCTCAAACTTTATCAATATTATTTAGGATATATAGACGTACTTCTTGCACTTCATCATGATCCATGCTCTTTACTAATACCCCACATGTGCCTTAACCTAATTGTCTCCTCTCCTCATGAGATTTAGGAAGCCCAAGTGGTTTTATATTGGACAAGTAATTAGAACAAAATTCCATAGCTTCTTTGTAACCTTTCCCAATATCCACTCACTATTAAGAAAGATTAACAAAATCATCACTTACAAACACCAAACAGTAATCAAATACTTTATTTGAAAAGCTTATGCTTAAGACTCATTTTGCAAAATCATCAAAACTATATTACATTTGAGCAATTTTCAGTGAAAATAACCTAAATGTAGTCATATCAATCATTGCATGCATCAAATATAAAGAAATCAGATCAAATTAAAGGCCATACATTGCAGCACACAAGACCTGCATCGTAGCATATGGCACAGAACCACAAGCCCAGACCTTTTTTATGTCATGCATCTCAACTTGACACGTCATGCATCGTGGCACACAGGTCCAATTTTGCTGCTGTCATTTAGCAGCACAAATGATGAACTTCTGGCATACGTCGTTTTCACATACAATGTCCAATTGGAATGATTCAAGAGCCTATGCAAAGCTTATCTCATAAGCTAGCTAATGAGATAGGTTTAGACATAATCTAATATTCCAATCAAAAGTTGAACACTCAGGTGCAAAAAATCACTTTTTTTAAAAATCTTGTGCATCCAAGTGCTGAAATCAATCCCTTAATCTCATTAGACTATTCTAGGTTTTGAACTAAGTCCAAAAGAACCTAATATATCTGATTGACCACATTATATAGTAATACATAAATATATCACAATTTGGCCACTTGACAGCTCATTTCCAATTTCATAAATTTTTCACAACTTGACATAAATATAATGTCAAGAAAATTAGACTAATTATTAAATCAATCAAGGTATTGATTCACGGTCTAATTGTTGGATTGTAAATTAATATATTTTTAATAATATATGCTTAATTAAAATAAAAACAAATAATTATGTAAAATAATAAAAACAAACATTTAAATTTCAATCAAAATAATATAAAATAAAAAAGATAATATATATATCAATATTTCATCATTTTAATCCAAAATTTAGTTTCTTATTTGTAATTTACAATTTATAATTTTAAAATACATACATACATACATATTCTACACGCTTCTTGCATATTTGTTCATTTTTTTTCATTTATTAATACTTATTAGATATAAATATGTGTACGTTGTAGTTTATAAATATGAATTAAAATTTAAAAAATAAAAAAGAAAAAGTAATAAGACCAGTTCAAGCAATACACCAATTAGTTCTGTCGATTTTGATTGATTCTTTATTGTTTCTCTTGTTGGGCAGTTCTCAATTATAACACAATTGGACTTATGACCAATTCTTGGTTTAACAGTTGAACCAATCGATCTCGTTAGGGTTTTCATAACACTAGTTATACAAGTAGTGGATGTGTTAATTCATGACACACAACATACACATAAGCTGGGACTCACATATTTTAAAATTACATATATGTCTTAAACTATATATAGAAGTTATAGGGTGGCATATTGAACAGGCTGCTTGATGAAATGCGGCTACAGAGAACGCCAACAAATAAAATAATCCAGGAGATCAGGCACGCAGCTTACTTTTGACATTGTCTTTGACCAGATTTAGCATGCTCTATAGAACATGTCAATTTGCTTCACTCGTCTTCCTCAAAAGACAAAACTGGAGATTTTCACCATAAATAAGCCTTCCATCAACATAATTACCGAAAACTCATCATCACCTCCTAATTCCAATGTCTTATTCTTCAAAGCTCTCCTCCACCATCCTCCTCCTAACCTGGGCCCTCCTTCTCCGAACATCTCTCGGAGCCGACCCTCTTTCCTATGTCTGTTCAAACCCTCAAAACTTCACCGCCAACACGCCTTTCGACTCCAACTTGAAAACGCTCATTACAATTCTTACCTACAAAACACCTCTCACTGGTTTCGGTCTCGCATCCATTGGCCAAAACAAGAACCAGAAAGCCTACGGCCTCTCTCTTTGTCGTGGGGATGTTTCTCCCTCAGACTGCGAAACTTGTGTCTCCGAAGCAACCACCGGACTCCTCAAACGATGCTCCTACGACAAAGGTGCCATAATCTGGTACGACAACTGCCTGTTCAAGTATTCGGACCAAGATTTCTTCGGCTGCATTGATAACGCAAACAAGTTGTATTTGTTGAACGTGCAAAACGTCAGTGATCCTGACGCTTTCAAGTACAAGACGAAGGGGTTGTTGAGCCGACTTGCAGAGGAAGCTCATGCGAACCCTAACATGTATGCAGCGGGAGAGTTAAAGCTTGAAGGATCGAAGAACATGACAGTGTATGGGTTGACTCAGTGCACCAGAGACCTTTCTAGCGAGGATTGCAAGAAGTGTCTTGATGATTTAATCGGTGAACTCCCTAACTGTTGTAATGGGAAACAAGGTGGCAGAGTTGTAGGCGGAAGCTGCAACGTGCGATATGAGATTTACCCTTTCTTCAAAGTGTAGGGTATAGAACTTCGTGTGTCGTGGATTCATGATTATGCATTATCATTCACCATATATGTTGTTGAATAAAGTTCATTCATTTCTTTGATTATTCATTATTATTTACCATACAAATAAATAAAACATACAAATTGTACTAATATTCCTAAGCCATTGATTTTCTACATTATTTGGGTAAATTAGATTAAATTATAATAAAGCATTGGTGATTGAGCTACAATTATAATATACTCTCCTCGTCTCAAATTATAAAATATTTTTAGACAAAATTACATACACTAATAAAACTTATTAAATATACTTTATAATCTTACTTTTTGAAGACAAAATTATAAATTTTTAAAAATATCATTCATTTAATACTTTATTGCTATAATAATATTGAAAAGAGAGAATATATGAGAAGGGTAGTATTGAAAAAGAATATTAATCAAACCATATTTTTATCAAAATGCCTTTTATTTTAGGACATCGAACTTTCTTTAAAAGTGTCTTATAATTTGAAATAGAGATAGTAATATTTATAATAAAATATTAACAGTGTGAAGATTTAACTACAAATTATATGATAATAAAAAAGAATACAGTGAAAGTGAAAAAGGTGAAAAAAAAAAATTTCCCGATTCCGAATCAACTTTGATGAGCTGTTTAATTTAGAACTCGCCTCGTGAGCGACGTGTTTGAAAGATTCATTATGACGTCACCACTTGATAATTAATTAATTATATTCTATCCCTATATAATACGAGGGAGCAAGGTGGTTGTTTAATTAATTGTGTTCTTTACATGTCTCCGTTTACTGAAAATTGCACAGAAATTGGGCATATGTTCTGGGCGGAAAATTATAAGTTTACCATAAACACGTAGAATTTTTCTTGTGCACCGTATATTTAATAACTTATGAAAGATCAATATCTGGAAAAAGTTGGCACTTTTCATACATCATGCATGTAATTATTTAATATCTCATATTATCGCATTATATTTGAGTATTGCCAATTTAAATAAGAGTACTTCTTTCAATGTGATTTTTTATTAATTATAAGTTTCAAATTCCAACCTTACTCTTACTGAAAGATGTCAAGTTTTCCCCACGCTTTCCAATCATTACTAAAAGAAATAGGCAAATCTTTTAACAAGGGACATGAGAAAAATGAGCCATGTATAGTGGAACGTGAAAGTGTTTAAATGGGAAGGACAGCACAACTAATCTCAAATCTCAATTAAACTTATGTTTATGGGTCCTTATATATTTGTGTGTGTTTTTAAGTTTAATATGAAATTTCTCATATATCAAGTCAAACACCCTCACACTTGAATGTATTTTCTAAATTAAAAAATTACCTATTACTTATAGGAAAAATTAATCTGCAAGCTCTTATAGTTTTTTAAATTTTGAATTAGATCCTTTGTAAGTATAGTTTGATCTATTGCTAATTCTTAAATGTTAAAATCATTAATGAATGATTGACTTTTCTTAAACAAAAACACTTTTACAGTTTATAAAAAATTTCATTCAAGACTTTTAGCCATAAAAGAAAAAAATAAAATTAGATTTAATGTAATTTTTATATCTTATTAAATTTTGTTATGAAAATTTTATATGTTTAAACATTATAAAAAAATATAACCTAATTATATAAACGTTGATCAGTTATACAAATTATATAATTAATTATAAAATTATATAATATTTTAATAAAGATATAAAAGTTCTCAATTTCATTTTTTAAAGAAAAATTCAAGGATTATTTTAACCTTTGGGGATTAATAAACCTAATGGTTCAAACTATAAGAAAGTTATTCAAACAAAAGAAGTTACAGGAATACAAAAAAAAACGGTTCTCAATATTTTTTTTTTAATAAAAAGGATCAATTTATTAAAAGGAAAGAATGTTTTTGGGGGAAAAAAAAGAAAAAGTTAAAGTATGGTAAAAGCAAAATGGATGGAAAGTAGAAGTTAATTAAAAAGGTTCTCGATATTTAGTTAATTTTAATGATGTATTTGATTATGAAGAAATTAATTAAAAACCCTTGCATTTAATTATATCTATATGAAAATAATCTGAAAAGTTTTACCCATTTTCAATCAAGGGAATCTAAAATATTATACAAAAAAGCATTCATCCATGATCAATCCAGGTAATCAGAATAATAGGATTTTTATATTAAAAATAAAAGGCAAAGATATAATATTTTTTTGACCAACAAGGCATACAATACACACACGCTCTTTTGCCTTGCATGTCCAGCTTGGTGAAGTCCAGAGAGAACATCGACTAATAAAATAATCCAAGACATCCAGCACGGAGCCCGTATACTTTTGACCCTGTCGTGTAAAACTTCGTAGGTGGACTCGGCATGGTTAGAAGAATATGTCAACCTGTTTAATCAGAGATTTTCTCTATAAATAACCTCTTCATCATCATGTTATGAATCATCCCTCACTCAAAAATCATCAGAGTTCCAATATGTCTTCTTCAAATAAGCTGATCTCCTCCGCCGTCCTCCTCCTAACCTGGGTCCTCCTTCTCCGAACGTCTCTCGGAGCCGACCCTCTTTCCTATGTCTGTTCAAACCCTCAAAACTTCACCGCCAACACGCCTTTCGGCTCCAACTTGAAAACGCTCATTACAATTCTTACCTACAAAACACCTCTCACTGGTTTCGGTCTCGCATCCATTGGCCAAAACAAGAACCAGAAAGCCTACGGCCTCTCTCTTTGTCGTGGGGATGTTTCTCCCTCAGACTGCGAAACTTGTGTCTCCGAAGCAGTCACCGGACTCCTCAAACGATGCTCCTACAACAAAGGTGCCATAATCTGGTACGACAACTGCCTGTTCAAGTATTCGGACCAAGATTTCTTTGGCCGCATTGATAACGCAAACAAATTGTATTTGTTCAACGTGCAAAACGTCAGTGATCCTGACGCTTTCAACTACAAAACGAAGGAGTTATTGAGCCGACTTGCCGAGGAAGCTCATGCGAACCCTAACATGTATGCGGCGGGAGAGGCAAACCTTGGAGAATCGAAGAACATGACAGTGTATGGGTTGACTCAGTGCACCAGAGACCTTTCTATCGAGGATTGCAAGAAGTGTCTTGATGATGCAATCGGTGAACTTCCTAATTGTTGTGATGGGAAACAAGGTGGCAGAGTTGTAGGCGGAAGCTGCAACGTGCGATATGAGATTTACCCTTTCTTCAAATTGTAGATCTTCGTGTTGGGTGGGTCGAAGGTGAGCAGAGTTACTATCAACAATGTTGTTGTGACGCTAGCTAGGCTTCGATCTTCGTCAGCAGCGTATACTCACGAACATTGATTCCTGTGTGGATGTTATCGAATAAAGTTTTCTCATTTATTTGATTTGATGAATAAAATGTCGATGTAACTTAATTTTGTTAGCTGTTGTTCTTCACAATATTCAAGCCTGAATAGTGATTGGAGCTGGACTTAGCTCCAAGAATGCAAAATTGACCCAAAAAATAGTACAAAATGAATAAGCGAAAGGGTGATGGCCTGCTAAATTTGGTAGGGCCATGATCTGGGCCACACTATCGTCGGCCTGGGAGAGGGAGTTTTGGACCCATTCTTGTAAGTTGATTTTTTCTTTTAAAAAAAAATCAATTATATGTTAAATCGATTAATTTGTCTAATGACATGGTACATATGCCCTCCTGCAGTAGTATGCTCAAGTGTGCCAACAGCGACGGGATCCGGATCATTTCACTGCCATACGTATCTAATAATTAATAACAATGACGACTATCATCATCATCATCATCATCATCATCATCAATAATTATTGGAGAAAATTGGTCAAAAACACCTGGTAGAATCAAAATTGGTCCCAAAGACCAAATATACTTTAAGGATGCAAGCTTAATTTTTTATCATTAATGTTAACATCTGACCAAAATGCCCTTGTCTTAAACAAAGAAATTTGAAAAAGAAAACCATTCTTTCTTCTTTCTTTCTGAGCATGATTCAAAGAATAACAAGTATTTAGAGTGCTATGCAACGGTCAATGATAAGGGATGAATTTGACAAAGGAGCATCGACGATCTAAGGTATAGGTGAGTTGTAAGTGACAAGTTTTGATAAAGACAACCTCATTGGAAAACTAGATAATCAAAGAAAACCATAGAGACAAAGCGATGATCATGTAGCCATGACAAATGGTGTCAATGGAAGAGCAATCAGCAATGTAAGTGAAGACTTGGTCAGATGAGGTTAAGAATGACTAGAAAGTGGTGTGCATCTTCTTGATTCTCTCAAAATCAAATATTCTTCATATTATTCCTTTCCTTGAATCCATCCTCAATTGTTAGGTTCAAAAACAGGTTTACATTCCATCAATTATTCTTTATTTGCACTTTGTTACTTTATATGTTAAATAGTTCCCATAAAGAGTTAATGACAAACACCATCATGAGACTTCCATAATGCCTCCAAATGAATACAACAAAAGCAACACTAGTACAATGCATATATTCAGCTTTAAAATTTTAAACCTCTAAAATCTATAAGTATTTTTACAGTTTCTATTTGGTACTTGTCACATGCCCTCTTGAAAAGAAAAGTATTGCATCTGATATGTAAAGGGATTGAGCAGCTCTATTATCTTTATTTATAAGTTTTAAGTGTTCAGTAGCATATTAGTATATCATATTTCCAACTTTTGAAAATGCTCTTGCTTTCATATGTGGGGTTATAATAATAAGTTGTGTTAAAACTTGGGATATTGAGAACTGATTTTAGTTTCTTTCTTGCACCATGTTTCATTAATTAATGCTATATTAGATTGTAGCTTCCTCTTAGTTTTGTATAGAAGCATTGGTCATCTAAGGGAGAATTCACTACATCTGTTGATCTAGATGTGGGGGATTATTGTTTTTCATATAAACTAAATTATATTCTTCTTTATCTATTATCATTAATACTACATTTTTTATCTAATATATAAAATCACTTTCAAATTGCACCAATGTATCACTTACTATGAAAGAAGGCCAATGTTCTAAGCACATAGGTAAAACTAGACTGTATTAAGTGCACTTAAAGATCTTCTACTTGAACTTGAGTCCATGAATCCTGTTGATGATGAGTCCATAAGAAAGGCTGCAGAGGGTACTTTTGATCCATTGAAAACTTTACCAATTGACTAGAAAGAATTTTCAAAACATGTTTGGGATAGTTCATCAATT